AAGGGCATATACAACAAAATAGATGGTGGAAGACTCTCAAGAATTGCCTATTGAGTTCAACAGAGAAGAAATTGAAAAATTGAAAAGCTTGTTGATGTCTCTAGAAAAGCCCTCCTCAACAGGTACTTGTAGTCTTGTTTTCTCAGGTATATCCTCCTCTTCTCAAAACTCTAAGGCCTCAGATTTACCTACCCAAAACGCATGGGTAATTGACTCACGGGCTATAGACCATATGACAAATTCTTCACTCAGATTTATCACCTATACACTTTGTCCTAGCAATAAAAAGATAACAATAGGAGGTGGTACTGTGATAACAGTGGCTTGTCAAGGAGATATTGTTATATGCGAAACTCTTACACTAAAAAATGTCCTTCATGTAACCAAACTATTTACTAACCTTATTTCAATCCAAAATATTACCAAGGACACTAACTGTAGTGTTCTCTTCCATCCCACTCAATGTATTTCTCAAGAACAAGGAACGAGGAGGATGATTGGACGTGCTAAAGAAGTGAATGACCCATACTACCTTAAAGACCCCAGTGGACAAGTCAATGCCCTGACTACCTCACCACTGTCCCTTTTATCAGAATCTAAAATCAATAAAGACCAAGTATGACTTCATCACCTTTGCCTTGGTTATCCATTCTTTAAAGTTATAAAACTTATGTTTCCTTTTTGTTCAAATCTTTAAATGTTGAAGAATTTCACTGTGACATTTGTGAACTTGCAAAACATAAACAAATTTCTTTTCCAGTAAGCAATAAAAAAGCCTCCACCCCCTTTTACTCTTATTCATAGTGATGTTTGGGGTCATCCACCACTCCAAATATAACTGGGGCCTAATGGTTTATTTATTTCATAGATAATTGTACCCGAGTGACATAGATATCTTCTAAAACAAAAATCAGATGTAAGCTCTGCCTTTAAGACCTTTTATACCATGATTAAGACTCAGTTTGGGGTACATATAAAATAGTTTCGATCAGATAATGCCAAGGACTATTTCAACCAAGTACTATCACCCTATTTTCAAGAGAAATGCATCATACATGAGTCTTCTTGTGTTAATACCCTCAACAGAACAGTGTGACAGAAAGATGGCCATATCATTGCTATAACAAGAGCCCTTTTATTTCAAAAAAATATCCCTAAACCATATTGGGGGAAGCTGTGTTAACTGTCTACTAAAGTCCTCGAGTCCCAAAGCACTATCCAAGTTCTAACCAATTTCTTCCCAAATTTCAGTCCTTCACTTAAACTTAAGCCCAAAATATTGGTTGTGTTGCCTTTGTTCATATACACTCTCAAAATAGGGGTAAGCTTGATCCAAGGGCATTGAAATGAATATTTATTGACTACTCTTCTACTCAAAAGGGGTACAAACGTTATCATCCACCTACAAGTAAACATTTTGTTTATGTTGATGTCACGTTTACAGAAAAATAAAATTATTTTATCCACCCTTATCTTCAGGGGGAGATTTCATTCAGGGAAGATAAAGACAAAGATTGTTTCTTACTTCAGCCACTTCTTGACTTTCCTGCACTAGCCCAACAATTACATGTTGTCTACCAACCTGCCCAATAGCCTTATTTAGACTAATCTACCTCCTTACAATCTGATCCTAATACACCTCAGCTAAAGACTTGGGCCATTACTCGTCCTTTACTGGTCAATTCAAGGAGGAATGCACCAAAGTAGGTTTAATCATCCTCTTCCTCTCCTATACAACCTGAGGTAAATACTGAGCATGTGTTTGATCAAAATATCACTGAATATTCTGATCATATTTCTGATCACATGTATTTTGACTTTCCTATCGCAATTAGAAAAGAAAAAAGAGCTTGAACCACAAAAACCCTTTATATCTATTTATTCCTACAAGAACTTATCTCACAACCACAAAGTCTTCCTTACTAGCCCTAAATACCATTTTCATTCCTAAAAATGTATCAGAGGCATTAAAAAATGAAGATTGGAAGAATGTCATGTAAGATGAGATGGAATCACTTGAGAAGAACAAGACATGGAACTTGGTAGAACTACCAGAAGGGAAGAAAACAATGGGGTGCAGATGGGTGTTTACAGTAAAGTACAAATCAGATGGGCCTTTTAGAGAGGTACAAAGCAAGGTTGGTAGCCAAAGGGTACTTTCAAACTTATGGATAGACTACCTTGAGACATTTTCTTCTGTTGCAAATAATTAATAGCGAGAATCCTGTTGTCATTAGCTGTCGATCAAGGGTGGAAATTACAACAAGTTGACATTAAGGGTGTTTTATTACATGGGGATTTTGAGGAGAAAGTGTATATGGACATCCCAACAGGATTTGATCCAAGTACTGGGCAGGCAGTGTACATGTTAAAAAAGGTTCTATATGGGCTAAACCACTTCCCAAGAGTCTGGTTTGGGAGATTTACCAAAGTGATGCTAAATCTGGGCTATAGACAGAGTTAAGGTGATCATATCTTATTTGTGAAACATTCGCCTTTAGGGGGAGTAACTGCTTTATTGGTCTATGTAGATGATATCATAGTTATAGGGGATGATTTGGAAAGAATTTATGATCTAAAAAAGTGTTTGGTGAAGGATTTTGAAGTTAAAGAACTTGGAAGAATAAAATACTTCATTGGTATTGAAGTGGCACACTCAAAGTAAAGAATTTTCATATCTCAACAAAAATACACTCTAGACTTGTTGACAGAAGCTGGAAAACTAGGGTGCAGACCAGCAGAAACACCAAGTTAATCACAAACTTGGAGATTCAAAAGAAGATGCAACAGTTGACAGAAGCTCATATCAAAGGTTTGTGGGAAGACTCATTTACTTGTCACACACCAAATTAGACATTGCCTATGCAGTTGGAGTTGTGAGTCAATTCATGTATAATCCTAAAGAATCACACTAAGAGTCGTGACTCAAATTTTACAGTATTTGAAGGGCACACTAGGCAGAGGAATTTTATTTAAAAAGGGAGGAAGTTTAACTTTGGAAGCATATTTATATGCAGACTATGCATGGTCCATAGTTGAGATCAACCTCAGTGTACTGGACTTTTTTGGGAGGAAACCTAGTGACTTGGAGGAACAAAAAACAGAATGTTGTGGCTGATCCAGTGCAGAAGCAAAATTTAGGGCGATGACACTTGGAATTTATGAATTATTGTGGCTGAAGATTATTTTGGAAGATTTGAAAATCGAATGGAAAGGTCAAATGAAGTTATAATGTGATAATAAATCAACAATCAACATTGCTCATAATCCAATTCAACATGACATGACAAAACATGTTGAACTGGATAAACTTTTCATAAAGGAGAAACTTGATAGTGGCCTAATTTGTACTCCCTATGTCTCCACTCAAGTTCAAGTTGCAGATATACTTACCAAGGGGATACTGAGAAGTATTTTCAGAAGCTAGCAAGCAAGTTGAGGATTGAGGATATCCATTCCCCTGTTTGAGGGGGGAGTGTCAGAAAATATATTCCTAAATTAGAAAGATTATGTGTCGTTAGATAGGATTCTACGAATATATTTTAGTAGTTATAATCCTTAACTTTAAGGGGATATGTGTTTTTCTAGAATTAATTCTTTCCTAGCTTAAGAGTTTCCTAAAGTTAATATTACAACTTGTATATATAACTATAACCCTTCTGTAGTAAAATTATCAAGAATTACTATGATTTTATCTATAAGTGACCAACCTAATCCTTCTAACATGACGTCACAAAAGAGAAGGAAAAAGAGCTCAGGGTTAATTCTTGGAGACAAAAACTCATATGAGAGCTTAGAGAGACATATAATATCATAATAGATCAAATGATCTGAACCAAGTTTAGAAAATCTGGATACTCACAGTCTCACATAGGTAGCACTCCTGCTCAACACAATTCTATTATCACAATAAATAATCTTATGGCCTTGTAATAAACACCTATTCATAATTTTCTCTTACAGAAAGTTTCCCCTAGTTTTAGAGTCCTTATCTCCTCTATAACCAATGAAAAAAATCTAAACACATAAAAAACATGTTTATAACCCAAGCGGATGACTATTATTTTGGAATAAATCCAAGCTCCAGAAAAGAACAACACATGCAAGATCATTGATATGCCCAGAGGAAAAGTCTGATTGGTTGCAAATAGATCTTCTCAATCAGACACAAAGCAAATGGAAGCATTAGCAGTTACAAAAGCTCATCTCATTACAAAAGGGATCCACTCAATCTTATGGGATTGACCATGAGGAGAGTTTTGCCCCTTGACAAAGGAAACATTAAACAAAGATGTCAAAGTATACACATACCAATTGAGGTAGTTCCATAATGGACCAAAGACCAACTATGGGTTATTGAACTTTCTTATGTGGAGCCTAATTACATGGAGTGCATAAGCTGAATTTAGAGCAATGTCACATGGTACTTGTGAGGATATCTACAAGAAATTTCATGAAACTTTTCTATGATAATAAAGTAGCTATAAGCATTGAATAAAAAACTCGTTCAGTCTAATTGAAGTAAACACATGAAGATTGATAATCACTTCATCAAGGAGAAGATAGGTGAGGGAATCCTTAGGCTAGTCTACACAAATAAATGTCAATAGACAATGGACATTCTTACAAAGACATTACCATAATATATTTTTGTGAACTTGAAGTCCAAATTAGACATTGTTGAGATATATATAATATTAAGAGTTGATTTAGCTATTGGAGATTTTATTTATTGTAAATATGTATTGCAAATATTTTTGTTCCCTTATCTTTACATAATTATTGGTATAAAATTAGATTGAGGCTTGAGAATTAACCCAAAAGAAAAATGACCGATACCATAACCAAATCTCAAAATGACTCAATTAGATACCAAAACCCAGCTAGACCACTCAACCACTCTCATATGCCTACCTTTTGAAATAGGATAATGTAAATAATAAAAGGAAAATAGTGATCAAGGAAATTTTAGAAATATATGCACTGGTGTAACATGTAACCTGTAAGGACTTGATGAGGAGTTTGGGCGGAAGATAACTTCGTAGCGTGAGCTTTTCGTTCCACTCCTAACTTCAACCTTTAAAAATAACGGATTACTTCCAGTGTCATTTTTCAAAGAAACACGCATCACCCCTTCACTACAAACACTAAAAGGTGTACTCCACCCATATCCATCTACCCGTAACTGAAAAAGAAGAAGACCAATTAGTTAAAACAAACATAATAATTTATGCAACATATTGAATCACTGCTATAACTGATGTACACTGACCTTCAACAACTCAACTTTTGAAGAAGTCTGCCATCCAAAGAGTTTTGGAGGATCAGTGGGATGGATCCATTCTACTGTCTGAGAATCATACTGCTGCAGACAAATACTTAAACCGACCATATTAACAAATAGCATGTATGGCTGAAGATGGATGACCTGAACATTGAATATTCTGATTTATTACTAACTGAGAAAAAATCTATTTAGATAATAACAATAAACTATATTATAAATTTGACTGCTTCAGAAAACAAAATTTTCCTTGTTCAGTTTTAACGTCTAAGTTAAAGCTTTTGAAGCTTATGCCATGGACAAAACTTCTTTGTCTTGATCCATTACAACATCCTTTCTATTTTGATTCACTACTAGTGGCTATTAGGCTGAATACCAATGCCTTCTAAATGCTTATAGGTCACTCTAATGATCTAAAATTACAATGGATGGAAAACGATTTATTAGGTCAGAAAGTACCAACGGAGGAATATAGCAGTGTTTCTCTAAAGAAGATCCCAGGATATTGAATATATTTCTTAAACTACATGACTTTATGCACATAAGGAATAATATTCATTAATCAAGTGTACAAGAAATTTCAGAATAAAAAGTTCAAAATCTCAAACATACTGTTACGTAAACTATTATCTTGAGTATGTTGCAGCAAAGTTTTGGGTTTCAGTTTTTTTTATAAAAAGATGTCTCATTAAAACCCCCTTTATAACTGTCAAATTACAAAAGTAGCTTAACGGACATTGGAAGGAGGAAAAGAGTGCCTAAAATTTTATTAATTAAATACCAACAACAATACAAGAACAATACAACACAACCACCCAGAAAACAACCCTACACAACAATAACCAACAACATAACCTAAACAACCTTAGCCACTCCCTAACTTAGCCAATTCATCAGCTTCATAATTGCCTACACGCTTAATATGTCAATGACACCCCTATTTAACACAATACTAACAATTTCTTTCACAATAGCCTCAAAACAAAGGAGTTCAAGATCCAGGATTTCTAATCCACCCTACAGCTACTAAGCAATCAGACTCAACAATGAGCCCTTTGTATCACTTCCAGACTCCATGAACAATTCAAATCCCCTTTTGATAGCCAATAATTCAATCAAAATTGGAGGACCTAGACCAATATTTTCAGAGAAAGATCCTAGCACCACATTATTCTTGTCCCTTAACAGCCTGTCAATACCCCTTTTTTGCCAATGACAATCCATTGCACCATTCATATTAGCTTTGAAAAATCCAGGAAGAGGAGGAGACCATCGAAAAAGATTAAAAGACTCAATTTTTTAAGACGACCCAACATCTGCTAACCTGAGGTCCGCCATCAAGCTATCCACCAATAAAGTCATATTTTTAAACTTAGACAGGAACCAAGATGCCACCCTGTATCTAATAAAAAAACATATAAAAACAATATCTAACTTCCCTTTATTAAAAACAATTACATTCATCATCTTCCAAATTGACCAGAATATTGCCCCTAGAATAAAAGTCCAAATAGTCGAGTATGACACCAGCTTAAACCAGGCTGACATTAATGAAGCAGAACTTTCTGGGACAACAAAAGAAATATTACACATCCTAAAAAAGCTCATCCATATCCCCCACGATACATTATATGACACAAACAAAAGGTAAACAGTTTTAGGACCACACAGCGTGTAAGATTGGACCACGATTCCAGGTACCCCTCTCTTAATTAACTCCATTTTAACTGCCACCTTTTTATTCACCACCTTCCACACGAAGGATTCCACCTGGGGTGGAGCAACCCCTAACCAAACACTCATCGACCAAGAAAAACTGATAACCGACTCATCAAACATTTGTCGAATGCAATACTTCATTGAAAAACTTCCATCTCTTTTTCCTGTCCAAACATTGTTATCCTCCAACCCATTCGAGGAATGAAAATCAATTAACAAAGAATTAAGTTCAATCCATTGTTCTATCTCCCATATTGCAAGGTTTCTTCTCATTTGGATATTCCAAAACCAACAAGAGGCACACTTCTTCCTAAAATCTATGATCATCCCATCCTTGTTAGTCAATAACAAGAACAAGCGAGTAAAGTAAAATTTCAGTAGCAGACCATCTAACCAAGCATCGTGCCAGAACGAGATAGAATCACTATTGCCTACTCTGAAATGAAGGTTCCCCCTAAAACAGACCCCAAACTCATCACTATAAAAGCAATTTTTAATTATCCCTTTCCAAATCCAAGAACCTCTTGATGAGACCAAATTATCCAAAGCAAAGGATCTTGGGTTTAGATTGTTAACACAACATATAACCTTCTTTCACATAGTCACTTTCTCATGAACATACTTCCACATCCACTTCCCCTAGAGAGCTCTATTCAAGAGGTCGAAATTAGTTATCCCAAGACCTCCAACCTCCTTTAGTCTACACACCAAAGACCATTTCACCCAATGTATTCTCTTCCGCTCTTTTGAACCTCCCTTTAGAAAATTAGCCATAGTGGAATTCAACTAGTTCAACACACATGAAGAAATTATGAATATAGACATAAAATAGATAGGCAAAGAACCAAGGACATATTTAATCAATACTACTCTCCCAGCTAAGGACATAGTCACAGATTTCCAGCCAACTGATTTCTTCTGAAACCTCAGAATGAAAGACTCCCACATCAGTGTCGAGTTCCTCTTAGCTTATAGAGGAAGTCCCAAATATTCTGAAGGAAACGACCCCACCGAGAAGAAAATAATATGTGTATATTCATTGAGGGTTTCTGATTCTAAATTAATCCCGTAGATCTTACTCTTCATCAAATTCAAGTGCAGCCCATACATCATTTCGAAAATATTAAGAACCTTGCTGACATTTCTCAATTCCCCTATAGAAGCATTACAAAATATTATTAGATCGTCAACAAATTGTAGATGTGACAATATAAAGGAACGCTCCTGATAGCCAATCTTAAAACCTCGAAATAACACAGAATCAACAACCTTTGATAATAATAAATTCAACAACTCTCACACTAAATTAAAAAGCAGAGGAGAAAGGGAGCAAACCTGGCGAAGCCCTTTAGAAATTTTAAATTATTTCATAAGAGACCTATTAACCAACACAGAGATGGACGCAGACGACAAGCATAATTCGATCCAGGAACACAATCTATTACCAAATCCCATCCTCTGCATAATTTTCAACAAAATCCTCCAATCAACCGAATCATACGCTCTTTCAAAATCCACCTTAAAAACAACACCCTTCAACCCTTTCCTTCTCCATAAATCAATCCCCTCATTTGCAACAAATGAACAATCCATGATTTGTCTCCTTGGAATGAAAGCAACTTGGGTCGGGCTAATAATTGCGTCCATACAAGCTTGCAACCTTCTCGATAACACTTTTGAGAGAATTTTATACAGACCTCCTACAAGACTGATTGACCTATAGTCCTCCAAGCTCTACGGGTTAATCTTCTTTGGAATGATTGTAATATAAGAGTGATTCACCCCCTTCCCATCTCTTTCCCATATAGAATTCAGAAAAGAATCTCAAAATTTCACTATTCAAACTTGACCATAATCTTTTGAAGAACCCCATATTCAAACCATATGGACCTGAAGCTTTGTTACTATCCGAGGAAGCTATTGCATCCCAAATCTCCTCATCTGAAAACTAACTTTCCAAAAAAGAACTCTGATCAATCGAGAACTTCAAAAAATTTAGGTCCATGTCTTCAACTTCAAGAGTTATTTTCTGATTATAAGCCTTTCTGAAGAAATCCGCCATACCTTTTTTTATCAAGGCCGGATACAATACTAGACACTCATTCACCTTCAAAGATTTGATACAATTTAATCTCCCTCTATTACTAGCACACTGGTGAAAGAAGCAAGAATTCCTATCCCCTTCTAAGCGCCATTTCACTCTCGATTTTTTGAACCATATCAACTCATCCTTCCTATATAACTCCCACAAATTTGATTTTGCTTTCGCTATTGAATCAATAGAAACTGAAGTTGACCCTTGTTTTATTGCCAACTCTATTTCATGAATGAATTTCTCAAGGTCCTTTAGTCATCCCGAAATTTCAAATGCTGATTTTTTAACCATTTTTTAATAGCTGATTTTGCACCATTCAACAGAGTAGAAATGCTATTTTTCCTTCTTCCTTCTTGAAGCTTCTTCAATTCTAACTCCATCACATCCTTAAAGTCACCCTCTTCCATAATATAATTAAATAACTTGAATGGTTTATGCCCCAATTTACCTCGTAATTTTCCAACAATATTGCAATATGATAAGAAATTGATCTTGGCAGCAAGCTTTGACTTATCTTAGGAAAATGAGATAAAAAGCTCTGATCAACCAAAAAGTGATCCAACCTAACAAAGGTCACTGAATCTCTATTGTTACACCAAGTAAACCACCAGCTAGCTAAAGGAAGATCAACCAAATTAGCTTGAGACATAAAAGCTCTAAAGATCCTCATGGAAAAAAAACATTCGAACCCTTCCCTAATTTTCTTCTCCAGCAATAAAATTGCATTAAAATCCCCTCATACACAAATAGGGCAATCAAATTGTTCAATAAAGGAAAGAATATCACCAAAGAAGAGTTTCTTTTTAGAATCCACATACAGCCCATAGACGTTTACTAAACAACAATCCTCTGAAAATCCATTCAATTTACCCCTCACCGCTATAAACCTTTTGTGAATGAAATTCGATTGAAGACAGAACACGTTCTCGTCCCACATTGTAATCAAAACCCTGCTGACCCCTCTGAATGAGAAGTTACTGAGCCTCGCAAAGCCTTTCTCCCAATCTTTCTTAACAACGAAGGCTTGATTGATTCTACTTTTCATTCTTGAATAAACAGAAAAGAAGTTTTATTATTGTCAACCACCCCTCTAATTGCTCTTGATTTTTCCTTCCTACTCAAACCCCTTATATTCTAAGATATAATTGAGAACTTTACCATTTCAAGAAGTTACATGAAAACATATATCACCTGGGAAAGTTTAACTTCCCCTTTTATCTTCATTTTCCTTTGCCAATTCCATAACTCTCTTCGTGAAAGTTTTTTTTTACCTTTTCTGAATGTAACACAGAGTAGATTAGTAGTCTCCCAGTTCGTAACCACCTCCTACGCGATCTCATTCTGCTTTGGAATGGCCACCGAATCCTCATTTTCTCTTACGCTCGACCTACTCCTTTCCCTTGATCTACTGTAGACTCTCTTGAAGAAAACTCTTTCATTTCTTCCCACTGAAGCACTTCTCTCAAATGGCAGACCACGATCAGGCGAGGAAGATCCATTCCGAGAACCCAACCGAGATCGACTCCTATAATCTCTTTCTTTAAATTTGATAGCTGATGAATTTCTGGACATACTTTTTCCAAAGCCACACTCACTCCTTGAAAGTCTTTTAGGTCTTAAACTTCTATTCAACCTATCCAAACAAATATCATTCACCCCCATGATTAGACTTAATTAGATTAAGCCCAACAACCCGTTGAGAGGATTCTTACCTAAATGGAAATTTGGCTTCCATTCTTCCATTATCCCAACCCATAGTATCAATACCCACCATATCATGTCCACATAGACCTCCAGCTCATCACTCAACATATCTTCATTAACCTTTTGCCTCGAGCTGACTCCCTCATTTATTTCAAGTGTATTCCCTATACAGCCACTTGTTTGGTTCTCCCGCATCCATGTCTCCATCAATCCTTGGGAACCTGATCGTGGTTGTTGGACTTCTATCCCCACTGCCCCATCATGTTCATCGCTATAATTTTTTTTTGATGAATCTACTTCCCACTCATCAACAGAATCACCAACATCACTTTTACCATAAAAATCGGGGAAAAATCATCGATCAAATCCACTTTGATCTTTAACAGATACGATATTCCATATGTTTTATAGTAATTGAACTTGGCACATCAAATGGACTAGCCACCCTCAGGAGCATCTGATTTACACGATAGTCAACCTTCTTCACTGTTTTCACCAACTTCCCCCACCTATTCGCCAAAATAGAAAAAAAATTTCGCTTCAACAATTAAGAGGCACTCCCATTAAAGGGATGGAACATAAAGCTAAAGGAACGCTCCCTTCTTGAGAAATAGGAGCTAAGCACTCAAACCAGACATTCAACTCTTCAATTTTATTCTATAAAACTTCCTTTCGTTCTTCCTCATATGGGAAAGTAATGATACAAGTATTCTTAGCGAATCCCCATTTTGCCACCTTCACGTTAACACCCTTATTGCACATGGCATTTTGAATGAACTCCACATCTTGATTGGATTTTTATATACCAGTCAAGGACGATTTTAGCCATACTCTTTCTTCCAAGGGTATGAAAAACTCCAGTTGACTCTTCATTCCCCCAAGACCCTCATAAACTATATTTTGAGGAGCCAACAGCTTCCTAATGAAGTGGATTATATATATATATATAACACAGAACATAAGAAGACCAATATCAAAGGACCAGTGATTAAACTTCATGCATTTATAGAAAGAAAATTAGAACTGGATTATATATATATATATATATATATATACAGAGAGAGAGAGAGAGAGAGAGGGAGGGAAATAAGTAGACATAAGTTAACATATAAAACAAATAATTGTTCATGGAATCATGACCGCTATCATCTAAATGCCAACTGAAAATATCCTATTCAACAATAGGGATAAAAGGAAAGAAAAGATTGCATAGGCTATACAAATTTTAATTATGGTATGCCTCTGGACAATGACCAAAATTTACAAAGATGAATAGAGATAACTTGAAGAAGTTAAAATATACACAAAAAAGCACCAATGAGGATAACAGAGAATATAAATAAAAAGATTAAAAATAATAAATTTTTATCCTAGAGAATGGAACCAGAAACCACAATAAAATATAAAACCTCAAGAAACTCAAATTTTCCACCTTTGTTCTGTCAGAGGTCATATTAACTAGAGCTGAAAGCTTGTAGTAGGACTCACGTGAAGCGAATGCTGCTAAGTCAACACGTTCCTGGAATAGAAGTTACATTTATGTTAGCATCACAATTGGCTGAAACAACACCAACCAATTTATCAGAAGCAGAGCCCATCCACATAGTCCACAAAATCAAACAAGATATATAAGCATGTAGACATATCGACCACTAATATATTACCTTCTTTTCAAGCTCAAGAAGAGAAATCCCAGGGCCGTAAATTTCAGAATCTTTGAGAGCCACAGCAATACCAACACGTGGGGACACATATGTATCCTTTTGTGATGTAAACAGTGTAACACCACTACGGCCGGCAAAGTCTTGTGGCGAAAGCATACTAGCTATTGGACTGGTGTCCTGAATAGCTTCAAGTACTTGAATGTTTCTCCTTGGACCTGAATTTTTCCTTTCAGTACTTGAATGTTTTGCCGATTTAACTGCTTTAGATAGTGAGTGTGAATTCACATCTGCAGTATCCGAACCTTCAATTTCTACCACTTGATAAGCTAAAGGCAGAGACGAATCATTAATGATCCAATATGGAACAAAAAACCTTATCGTCTTAGGTGCAGCACTGGTTCCTCCCATATCATGTTCAATGCTCACACGCAATCTCCTGCAAACACACATGAAAGGTCGTGGATAACAGAATGTACTTTTTAACAAGAAAAATTTAGCAAAATGTATTAAGCCTAAGACTATTCAAACAAACTTTTCTGTAAATGAATTCCATCGAAGTTGATCATGAAGGAACCTACATAATACAAAAACATACATTGTTTTCACTTATCTAATTCATTATTATAAAAGATATAGAGAATCATGGCATCAAATTTGGGGGGTTTACGGATCCCAAATTTATCATTGTTAAACAGAGCTTTGCTAGGGAAATGTGTATGGAAGTTTGCATCAGAAAAGAAGTCTTGGTGGAAGAGAGTGGTGTGTGGTATTTATAATTTGGATCCAAATTCCATTATGATGGGGAATTCCTGGTCAGGCCGAGCATCGTGGATTTGGGAAGGTGTGGTTAAAAACTTCTTCAACAATGATGGTTTTGGAGATTGTCTTAGAAGGAATATGCGTTGAAGACAGGGAATGGGGTATCTGTGGAGTTTTGGAATGACGTTTGGTTGGGTGAAGTTCCCTTGAAAGTTTTGTTCCCTAGACTTTATGTTCTTTCTAACAATAAAGAGGGTAAAGTGATGGAGTTTGGGGAGAATAATGACTCGGGGTGGGTGTGGGATATCCAAATGAGAAGAAATTTGGCTGATTGGGAAATTGAACAGTGGCTATAGTTGATTACTATGTTGAATAATATCTCCCTAGATCCTGCTGAAGATGATTGTTGGATTTGGTTAGGGAATGGAGAGGGCTGCTTTACAGCGAAATCTTGTATTAACACTTTCATTGATCAAGATGGGTCTGGACAGAATCAGGAGAATTGGGAAAAGCATATTTGGGTAGGGATTGCACCTCCATGGGTGGAAACGTTTGTTTGGCAATTAGCGCATCAGAGATTGCCGGTTAAAGAGTAATTATTGAAGAGAGGTGTGATAGAGATTGTTGATCATCTATGCGTATTGTGTGGTCGAGAGGTGGAATCAGTTTCACATTTATTTCTGCATTGTAAGATAGTGTGGGGCCTGTGGTCAACATTTTTGAAAATGTGGAATGTGTCATTGGTGATTCCTAAGCATATCATTAATTTTTTCATTTTGTGGGATGATTTATTGCCTAAATCTTCGATCTGGAAATTCATCCCAAGGGTAGTGATGTGATCAATGTGTAAATGTAGAAATGAGATTATCTTTCATAAAGGAAAGCTGGATTTTGTCAGACTATTTTTCATTGTTCGATTTAGAGTAGCTTCCTAGTTTGTTGCAAGGTTAAATGATGTGGTTATTCCTTTAGATTCCCTAGTAGGCGATTTAAAACTTGTCGATTAAAGGGGAAAACAACGTAAGGGCTACTCTCAATCTTCTTGCTAGGTTCCTCCCCCAGATGGGTTCTTAAAGTTAAATGTTGATGGAGCGATGGTATCGGGCTGGGATAAAGGAGGTATTGGTGGTCTGATTCGGGATAGTAGAGGTGTGTGCTTCAATGGTTCTCTGAAGCAGTAGGGGGAGGTCCTCCTATCATGGCAGAGTTGTTGGCGATTAAGAGGGGGCTTTGTCTTATGGAAGAGCTAGGTTCGGTTTCTAATAAAAGGTTTATTCTGGAATCTGACTCAATTAATGCTCTGAAGTGGATCAAGAATCCCGGTTCATGCACCCCTATGTTTCTATCCTTGGTGAACGATATAGTTTCACTTTTGGAAAGAAAGGATATTATTATTAAGCATATTTTGAGAGCGGCAAGCTGGGAAGCTGATAAACTAGCTGGAGATGGGATAGGGTGATTTCTTGGTTTATAATGGTTGTGTTGATTTGTAGGAAATGTAATTTCCTGTGTTGTAAGGTGTTTTGAGTTAAGTCTTATGTCCTCCAGTTGGAGGTTTTGGAGTCTGTTATGCTCTACCTATGTATTATGGCTCTTATGAATAAAATTTTCTAGGCACTCTTTTCCTCCTTTCTTGATCCTTCATGTTACTGACATAGCATGGAGGGTTAGGAGGCCTACTCTTCTATCAAAAACAACTTAACCAATTCCTAACTTAGCCAATTCATCAGCCTCTCAATTAGCACAAATTTCATTTAACTAGTGATCCAAACAACAGAGTATAGGAGCCCGGATTTTTAATCTAATCCAAAGCTACAGAGCAAAATGACTCAAGAATGAGTCTCCCCTTATCGCCATAACTCGAATCCACAAAAGGAACGAGACCCCTTCTAATAGGATGCAACTCAGCAAAGATTGGCGGCCCTGGACCAACACCTTCTGAAAAAGAACCCAGAACCACACCCTCACTGTCCCTAATTAAATCACCAATACCTCCTTTTTGCCACCTCTTATCCATAGCACCATCCATGTTAATTTTGAGAAAACCATGTGGTGGAGGAACCCACCGCACTGCCTAAGATTTAACTGACACTAAACTAGAAGTTGAATTTGCTAAGGACAGATCTCCTACCAGAATATCAAAAGGGATCGACAGGTCATGATATCTAAAAAAACCATGACACTATCCTGAATCTTATACGAAAAAATAATAGGATTGGATCTAACTTTCATTTTTCAACAATGATCTCATTTCGACATTTCCACACTGATCACATAAGCACCCTTGGTGTGAAGATCCATATGAACGATTGCGAAGATATCTCATTCCAAGCAGAAAGCAAAGCAGCAGGGCTCTCTAGAACAACAAAAGAAATATTCCAAAGTCACACGAATCTTACCTATAATCCCCAAACCACATCACACTGAACAAAAAGATGAGAACCAAATTCATAAAAACCTTCCACACAACGGACACGAGGAATCATCAATCCCCTCAACACCTCTCTTCAACAACAACTCCCTAACAGCTAACTTTTGGTGAATAACCTACCACACAAAAACTTCAACACGAGGAGGAACTACTCCTAGACAAACATGATTAGACCAGAAAGGGTTATCTACAGACAATGCATGAAAATGACTTAGGCAAGACTTCACTGAAAAGCAACCTTCCCCGTTGCCAATCTAAACCCAGCAATCTTCCACCAAAGGAGAAGTAAAATTGCCTAACATCGAATTTAGATGTAACCATTGTTCTAGCTCCCAGTCTTCAAGATTCCTTCTCATTTGAAGGTCCCAAACCCAACCCGAAGAATTGCAGGATCTGAAGTTAGCAACTCTACCCCCTTATTAGTTGAAATAATAAATAGCCTCTGAAACCGATCTTTCAATAGACATAAGCCAACCAAGTATCATGCCAAAAAAGGATATTTTCCCCATTACCAACTTTTAGCTGCAATTTATTTCTAAGACAGACACCAAAATCATCACTTGAACTGAAATTCTTAAACACACCCTTCCAAATCCATGAGGCTCGATAAGAGGCCAAGGAATCCATCGTAATAGAATTTAGATCCAGATTATTCACACAGTAGACTACCTTTTTTCCATCATGAGTCTTTTTTCACTCACAAATTTCCATATCCATTTTCCCAACAGTGCTTTATTCAACAGATCCAGATTGGAGATTCCTAATCCCCCAAATATTTATCCAATGAATGTTCATTTTCTCTTCTGAACCCCCCATAAAAATACCACCATTATAGAGTTCAAATTCTTTAAAACGCTAGCAGGCAATCTAAAGATGGATAAAAAATAATTGGTAGAGAGCATAATACTGATTTTATCATCACAACCCTTCTAGTTATAGACAATGACGATGCCTTCCAACCAGCCATCTTCTTATGGAATCTTTGGATTACAAAGCCATATAATTTCTCTTAGCCCCTAGAGGGAGACCCATATATTCTGATGGAAACGTACCCACCGAGCATCCAATAGAAGAGGCCCAAACCTTAATTAAGTCAGGATCGACATTGATTCCAAAGATTCTACTCTTCGACAAGTTTAATTGTAACCCTGCCATCATCTCAAAAATCGTAAGCACCCTCCTTACTTTTTTAGCTCCCCTAACGAAGCATTGCAAAAAATAATAAGATCATCAATGAATTGCAAATGCGACAGCAAAAAAGATCTCTCTTGGTTCCCAATCTCAAACCCTCTAAGCATTCCACATCCATCTCTTTAGTAAGCAACAAATTTAACAGTTCACCCACCAGATTAAACAAGGGGGAAATAGAACACCCTTGACACAACCCTTTAGAAATATGAAATTCTTCCAAGGGTGAACCATTCACCAACAGTGATATTGAGGCTAAAGAAACACATTCGTGAATCCATGAACACCACAACTCTCCAAAACCCATACATTTCATAATTTTCAACAAAATCGACCAATCCACTAAATCATATGCTTTCCTAAAATCCACCTTAAACCCTCCCTTCTTTCCTTTCTTACTCCAAAAATCAATGTCCTCATTATCAATGAGCGAACAGTCCACAATTTGTCTCCTAGGAATAAAGGCAAACTGAGAAGGACCAATAAGGCCTTGAATAGTTGACGCCATCATTTCTAGAAAACCCTCTTCCTCTAGTAGATAATTAAACATCTTGAAAGGTTTGGGACTTCAATCGAAACAATGGCATATCAAAACAGTAAATAGTTAAACAATGGCAGTGGCATACTTTCTAGTCCAACATCTCCTTTGAAATAGGTTGTGTTTTAAATCTATATTGCCAAAGAACAAGTATTTGTTGTGCAGGAAAAAATTATGCCAACCAAGAATGAAATTTCTGGAGGAAGACCAAGTCCAGTTTATATTAAATATCGGTCACTTCATTAATAGTTAAAATAAAGGGGGGAAAAAGGCCCAGACACTGCACAGTAAGCAGCAGAGGAAAAATGAGGTAATTTATGCATTGTCCCCCAGGCTGACAAATAACAAAGGATGTAGAAACAAAAACTATTAGAGGCGACCATACATGAAAAGAATTTTTGGAGCCACAACCTTTTACTTTGCTGGTGGAACATCCAGAAATGCGAAATGTGATCACCGGAAGAAAGATCCAAAATAAGAACCGGGTCCTGCATATGATAATGCATTCAGCACTAAGAAATACATGAAAACTTGCAGATGAGAATAAAAAGAAACATTCATGGTCAGATCAAAGTTAAACTTGTTACCTTTTCCAAAATCCAATCACCCTGTACAAAAAATGAAAGATATATTGGTCTTTGGATATCCACTGAATATATATGAGCACTCTTCCGTGAAGATATGGTTCCATGCTCTCGTTCAATATAGTTCCGTTCTTTTGTTTTTTCCCATATTGTGAATTCAGCTGGACAAGATAATCGATTTTCCAACTTCAATGGAGAATTAACAGAGATATTCCAATCATAGACAGGCTGATTAAGCTCAGTATGAAGGGCTGACGCATCTGCACCTACACTGAGCCAAATTTGCCTGCCTTCAACAGCAGGGCAACAACAAAGAAGTATATCCTTTTTTTCAAGTTGATTTAACATAAGAGCGAAATTGGGAAATTTGCTTCCATGTGGCAAAGTATTTTTACTATATAGTGAACACTGATCTACAAAAGGCTGGTCCTTTCCACTTGCAAAACTTGAAGCAATGGCAACAACAATAATATGACCCCAAGCGTATGGCAGCTTAGAATAATCAACACTGGGACGAATGCGTAAACACTGATCAGATGCTTTAGATGTACTTTCACAAGGTAAAACAGTAGAACATCGGGGGCTTATCGTAGTGAAGCCACTCTCTGTGCAACTTTTGCCTTTCTCAGCAATTAGTTGTCTTTTTCGGATCCAACGCCTCCTCCGCACAACATCATTACCAGATTTAATATGTGATTTTGAAGAAGTCGAGGGCCATTGATTTGGATGGTCAACACCATAAGCCCATCCATCTTCATCAACAAATTGGGATTTATCGATAGTCCATGTCGATATCCATTCCCACCCCTTAGGTAGGGGAGGTTCAAAAAAATCCTTCAAGATAAAGATGAAGTAAGAATATACAGAATACCAGAGAGAGATAAATGTGTATTGATGATCATGCAAAAAAATATGGAAACATTGATTCGAAAAATCACTAACCTTTGATGAACATGAGAAGTCTTTGGTGCTCCAGCACTCAGGGTCACTACCTTGAGAACCAGACCACTTACCCCAGCCAGATATTGGGTGATACCTCTGATTTTCAAAGATTTCTTCTACCATTATTTTTCGAGCGCTTGATCCTGAATCCTGAAGCATTGACACGCGACATACTGCAATATCCAAATTAACATCAGATTCATTTACAACGGTAGCAAGACCCCTGAAAATGGCATGCTTCTTTCCATTTTTCACAACAACTTCCATTGCAATGAATTCGCTTTGGAATGATTTTGGGACTACTGACAATGGAAGCAGTGACCGAATGCTTTCCCATGAACCCTCTGATCCAAGCCTAACCCAGAAACCTATGTCCTTGTCAGAAGCATCCTTGCTTTCAGTATTTCTTTCAAAATTCGCAGTTGTATCCCTCTCAAAATAAGACATAGAAACAAAGAGTTTAACATCGCCATGCATATCTTCAACATTACTGGACTGAAGAGTAAAAGAGGACAGTAAAGAAATGAAGGATAAAAATCTACTGAAACAAAGAAGGTGAAGTAATTGGACCAAAGATGCGGGAAAGAGAAATTCACCTTTTTCTTCAACGAATATGATTCAATATTCTGAGTATCATTCCATGGAGGCAACATCCTTGATGAAGCTAGCTTTTTTAACATATTGGCACGATTCCCAATAGGAAAAGAAAGTGCACCAACAACTTCACCTGCTTTTTATTAAATTACAAAATAAAGAGACAAAAGCGCACACAGAAGCTCAAGTAAAGAGGAATAACTGAGCAGAATAAGTGAATATTTGATGTATATGAAAGAATTAAGGAAAAAACTTCTAGCAAAATATCGGTCACTTAGAAGATATCATGAGACAATAGTAAATCAAAAGCTAATGAATTAATATATAGTGCAGAACAGATGAAGGGTGGAACAAAAAGCGAATCACACTGTAAAGACTAACTAATAGAAAGTGCTCATGATAAAATTTCGATGGTCATTTAAATAGAGTGTTTATTACGACATAATAAATGAAACTGAATGCAATGAACATCAACTCATTAAAGTATAAGAGGCACAGACAATATCTAGTTTTTATGTGGATTTCCATTTTAACTCAAGCTGATGAACCAAAAAAACGTACCTTTACCGGCTTTTGCAGAAAGGTTTGTTACCTCCACCTCCAATTTAGCAACCCCCTATGACAGAAAATGCAGAAATTCCTTAGCAGTGTGGGAAACAACTACTACTGCTGGAGAATCTCATGGATTATTTAGCTGTAAATATTGTTCTTGTAGATTGTAGACGTGTGGCATATTAGTTAGAGATTAAAGTTTATTTTTTATTTATCTCTTAGTAGTTTAGTTTTACTCTTAAGTCTTATCCTAAGTGTAGATATAGACAATATCTAATATCTAGTGTAGTCCTAGTTAAAGTGAAACAGTATGTATTAAGTCTTTATAAAAAGACTAGAATGACCTGTAAGGATAGACTGATTGTTTGGGATAGGATCCTGATTCTTTCCTAAATAACTATTGTTTCTTCGTATAAAAGGAGGCACACTACCACTTGGAATAAAAAATATTAAGTTCCCAAAAATTAGAGTACAATAACTGATAATCAATCTCCTACCTGTGATGGAACCTGCCCAATTCGGATATGTATATACTTTAACAGTCTAATATGTACCTTGAAGATGAACATTCTTTGGATTGTGCATGAACTAGCTTATCATACTTATAGCATATGCTATATCTAGTTCTGTATGTGACAAGTAAATCGACTTCCCTACTAGCTTTCAGAATCTTTCCTCTCAACAACTTTGTTGTCTTTTGCTTCGTTCAATATTTAGTTTTCTTCTATAAGTATATCAATTGTCTTACATCCCCAACATTCCCGTTTCTCAAAGATGGTTAAGAGTATATTTTGTTGAGCCATAAAAGTTCCTTCTTTTTACTTAACCACTATTATTCCCTAGAAATATTTGAGTCTTTCAAGATCTTCAATCTCAAACTCATGTCTTAATTTTTTTTTGAAGCCTCTGCATGTCTTGTTCACCATTCCTGATAACAATTATGTCATATATATACAAAATTAAAATTATAATTCTTCCCTCAACTGAGTGTCTGATAAACAAGTTATAGTCCCATTTACTTTGTATGTTGTTCATTCCAAATATCCTCACTGTGAATCTTCCAAACCAAGCCAATGGAGATCGTAAATTAAAGAAGAATTGAGAATTGGAAGAAAAGAGAATGCAGAGAAAAATGTTTGTGAATGATTCAGCTTGATTAACCCTTGAGCTAAAATCTGATTTAATATCATTATTCCTATATACAAATAAGGAAAGAGAATATTACAATAAATATTTACAACTAAGCGAATCCCTAATATCTTGCTAAATAAATTCCTAATATTTTGTATATCATAACTCTCCCACTCAAGTCCGAGCATATAAATTATAGGCTCCTAGTTAAAATATCTGCTAAACTGATCATTGGAATTGGCACAGCTCGTGACAACGCACCCTGACTCAATCTTTTGTTTCACAAAATGGCAATCGATTTTTATGTCTTCCATTCTTTCATGAAAGACTGGATTAGAGGCTATATGCAATGCTGCTTGGTTATCACATATCAGCTTCATTGAACTTATGCTGTCATATCTTTACATACACTGACAATGTTCAAAACCATCCCAGAACTATTAAACCAAAATATTCAAGGGCTTCAAAAGCCCTTTCCTTTTCCACATATTTTCTTACACTAATACATGACCGTGGATCTGATCAAAATCTGCATTCAAACCTGCAAGGACTTTGCAAGCCCTTTCCCTTTCCAGAAACTTCTGAAGTATCTGTTATCATCATTATACTTCATCTTTATATTTTGATAATGATATATTTCAAACCAGAAACTGTTCATAATATTGTAATAATCTCTACTAAAACATGTACTTTGCTTAGTGGCTGATATTTTGGTTTTGATCTAAATAATAAGAGCGGCATCATGTAGAAGTAAGGATTTAGGAACATGGATCAAAGTGATACTCTGAATTTCTTGATTGATTAGAAGAGAAATCCAAGCCTCATTTAAATAGGCTGAGTAGAAAAGTTTAAATATAACTACAATTACTCTTAGATAAGGTTCTATCTTAGTTAGAAAATAAAAAGATATAGTTAATCTAAACTACCAAATCAAACAAGATTGAGTTATAGTTAATCTAAACTACCAAATCAAATAGGATAAAGTTATAGTTAATCTAAATTTGTAATTCAAATAATTTACTGCTTCACATTCCAATATTCTACACTCCCCCTCAAGCTGAGTATATTTTGAATATCCTTAGCTTGGATGAAAATCATCTAGAACCGGTCTTAGAAGAGCTTTAGTAAGAATGTTGGCCATTCATACTTTGTGGGAACGTAGTTGAGATGAACTACTCTACTGCTGACTTTTTCTAAGATAAAATTCCCATCTATCTCCACATGTTTAGTGCGACAATGTTGGACAGGATTCTTTGCAATACTAATAGTAGATTGATTATCAGTTTGCAACTTGAATTGCTTACAACGTTCTAATTTCAGTTCGGTCAACATTCTTTGTGCCCTCACAAATTCCTAGTGCAAGAGCTCAATATTCAGCTTCTGCACTACTTGAAACCACAACTTGTTTCTTCTCCAAATAACTAGATTTTCCCATGGTAGAGGTGATCTAGGAGGCGGAATCAAAGCTGCGGTTGCGGTGAATGTCTTCTTCGATTTCTTACTGGGTTCACCGGCGTTGATTGAATGTTTTTTTTAATAATTAAAATATATTTTATATTTTTTTATATATTTATTTATTTAGATTTTAAAAAAAATTAAGAGGGTAACGTGACGTGTTTTGATTGGTCATCGATTTTTTATTTTAATGGAACGGATTGGGATAAATGGGATAACGATTTAAATTTTAGAAGATAAAACGTCTCGAAAAATACTATAAGGATAATCTAATACAAATAGCATATTTTAGAGGCAAATGTACATTTAAGTCTTCTTTTCAAGGACCCTCATCTCTTCCTCCATTGCTTTCCTCCATCTAGGATCACTTTGAGCGTCTTCTATTGTCGTTGGAACTGGTGTACTAACAACACTTGCTGTGAAAGCCTTGAACACGCAGGCATCAAACGGTTATAAGAAACAGACTTTTGTATGAAATTAGTACATTTCTTTACACCTTTCCTCTGAGCAATCGGCAAATCATAAGTAATAACAAGAGGAACATAATTTTCACTAGGAAAGGATTCCATACCTTCCAAATTTTCTATAGTAATTGGATTCAAGTTCAACTCTAGGTAGCTTCTAGGTTGTAGAGTGGATTTCTCTCTTTTTGTAGACAGTAAGGTACCTTCTTTAAGGTGTTCCAGAATGTAAAGTATTAATTTTTTGTGGAGTCATAAAGGGAATCTTTGTTCGAGTAGGACAAGAATTTGAAGAAGACTGCGTAAGTGGAGGAGGTTCAGAAAATATCGGTTAAGATGTAGGATTTGAATTCATCTTGGAATATCATAGATCTGTTGCTTCCCATACTTCATACTTCTCGAGTAGAAACGTCCGCATAGTTTAATATCAATAAAATCCAAAACCCACCGTTTAATAAAGGAATCTTATCCATCCCATGCACTGACCTTAGGATCAGTTATGGCCGTAGAGGGCCCAGTTAAATGACTTTTTTTATAAGAATTTCAGGCCTCGTTAAAAACCCCCTTGTTGATTAATGGAGTTTATATGAACTCCTTAATCAGTGGAAGGAGGAAAAGAGTGCCTTAGGATTTTATTGAACCATAAAATTACATAAGATACAACCATCATACACCCCCACCAACCAAATAAGCTTGAAACAACCATAAAACACCCAAAATATAAGAATAGAATAGGATCAGCCAATTCCTTCTTTAGCTAAGGCATCAGCCTCTAGATTGGCTGACCTATTAACCCATCTGACAACACCTTCTAAAACATTAAGCCTATGAACAATATCTTTAATCAAAAACACATAAACATCAGGAACTAGATCCTCTTTCTTAATCCAGTCTACCGCAACTTTGTTGTCGCTTTCAATAATCAGACGACCCTTCCTCTCTCGTAAATTCGCATAGAACATTAGACCCTTTTGAATTAATTCCATAAAAGTTGGAGGGCCCGGACTTGCAGTTTCCTTGAAAGAACTTAAAGTCAAACCCGAGGAGTCCTTTAGAACACCTCCTATCCCACTCTTCTTCCAATCTCTTGTAGTAGCCGCATCAACATTTAACTTTACAAAACCTTGAGGAGGAGGAGACCAAGGAAATATAGATACAAGTCGATTAGGATAAAGAGAGCACAAATCCCCTAATGAAGGGTCTGAAATAAGAGAATCCTTAGGAATAGACACCTCTTTGTACTTAGTAAGGAACCAAGAAGCTAATCTAAACCTTGCTAGGAAAAAATATTCAGCCAAATCCAGCTTTCCCCCTTCAAACACAATGAGATTCCTAACTTTCCAAGTAGTCCAAATAACTGCCCCAGGAATAAAAGACCAAATTGTAGAGGAAGACTTCAAATCAGCCCAAGCAAGTAGGAATTTTTTCGCATTAACATGCAAAACAGACTTAATCTTCCAGAAATTCAGAAATTTGTTCGAAATCATCCACACCACCGAACACGTGAAAAACAAGTGCGATGGAGACTCCACCTCCCTCTTACAAAGAGGGCACATAATGTCTACAATTCCTTGTATTCCCTTTTTAACAAGTTCTGACCTAACAACCAGCTTCCCTAACGCCACCTGCCACATAAAGGACTCCACTCTAGGTGGAATCTGGCCCCTCCAAATAATCTTCTTCCAGAAATATACCTCTTCCGAATCAGAAATAATGGCTGAACAAATCTTAGTGCCAGATTTAACAGTATATACCCCATCTCCAGTACCTTTCCAAATCACCCCATCACATAACTCCGTAGATAGATAAACAGAGGAGATAGCATTCATCAAGTTAACCCACTGTTCTACTTCCCAGTCGTTTAAATTTCTTCTAAACTGCACATCCCAACTCCAACCAGATGAGCTGTAATTCCCAAATTCAACCAGTTTACCCATTATGTTTGTGGAAATGGAGAACAATCGAGGGAAAATAATTAGAAGAGGAAAGTCCAACGCCCAATTATCCTGCCAGAACC